TTAACAGCTGCAGGTGTTAATTGAGGGATACGTAAAGTTCATATAAAATTAACCACTGTCAATCTTGGATTGCTTTCATAATGGAGGAGTTAAAGCCAGTCCAACTGCCCTGAAAAAGCCATCCTACCACCACCACTCGGTAGTGCTGTATGGAAATGCTTTGGGTTTAATGCAGTCAGCGGCAAAATCCCTAGTAAAGACAATTTCATCTGCTAGCTCTTGTAAGCGGCAACTGCCTTGCCCTTCAACAATGGGTACAGGACCCCTGCAAGTATTCTCCATGGCATTCTTCATGAGATTTTTAAAGATCGAGGGCCCAGAGCTGTCCATTCAGTCATATCTACCAGTAGTGGGCGATAATAGGAGGATAACAACCCCCCTTTACTATCCTCAGACTGACAGCTTGGATGAACCAAGTTTGAAAAATTACTGCATGCTTTGATGCCAATGCTCAAGGTGGTGCTAGTGATAATGCAGAGACTGGTGGTGATCGAGCCGTTGACCAATGAGTGGAACAGTCATGTTATCCTGGTAGCGAGGAAAGATGGAAGTCAGGAGATCATGTCCGTAAGGTTCATCCATAACCTTGATTGTGATAATGGTTACCAACAGGTGATGTTAACAGCTGAGCGTTTTCAGCTGACTGCTTTTATGGGCACTATCAGTTCACCATTCTTCCCTACGGTTTACATGGAGCACCAGCCACCATCAAAATTCATGGACAAAGTTCTGAACGGTAAAAAAAGGCTTTCATATCATCTACAGCTGCATTTTTTCCAAAACTGTTCAACGAATATTGTCCTGACCGGAATGAAAGTGGTGCACAAAAGCTCAGATCACAAGATGGTTCTTAACACACAACCATCTGAGTTCCGGGTCCTGTATAAAACAAGAAGGTTGAATTGTACGTGGTTACGTTTGTGTGTATGACCCGGGAGTTGGAAGCTAGCTTCAGCTGTGCACTCCTGAAGGTAGCGTGTTATTTTAGCAGGTTTGGGAAAATGCGAGAGATGTAGGGGGCAGACATGAAACACAGTGCAAACATTGTATACTGCATTCAGTTCATGTACTTCAGTGTCACCTGAGACAGAGCCCTCTGTCAACAGGTACCGCAAGTACCGCAAAGAGGTCAACTTTCGATATTAAAAAATGAACTGATACTCGAAAATAGGAAATGGCTTGTCTGCATTTTACCTCAAATTTAGAAAGTTTAAAGACTACCAACATTTCTGGTAAAAACTAGCAGCATGAAGTTTGTTATGGCCATAACTCATGATTTGATGATTAAGGTGTCCAAAAGGATAAAAAGCAAAAGGTGACTTTTGTATTTACCATTATTCCAATTGTCGTGTATTAAAGTGGGACAAACTCTAACCAAACCTTTGGCTGGGGTTTGCACTAAGTGCAAAGGAAGAACAGGCAGAACCACAAGGCTTTTTCATGTGGGTGTTTAGGTGACAGTGCATGGTGATTATAATAGGGGACTTGCTCTTGTCTGAGGTAGCATTCATTTAGTATTCTTGTTTAATTTCATATGGTTTCCGTTTATTTACAATTTATTTACCAAATTTGTGTTTAGCAGAGAAAATAGTGATATAGGAGTGGAAATGGTCATTCCTTTGAGGGAGGGGCAGGACTGTCTGAACAGGCCATGGGAAGAGTCTTTTAGGGGTCCATGAACCAAAAAGTGTCCATGAACCTGAGTAGCATAGCCTATTTTACCTCATTTGTTTTGTTGTTTCTTTTGTATACATTTTGTGGTGTTTGTCCGAGTTCACCAGCACATATCTCAGTCTGGGTGAGATAAGCCTGGGTAAACTGAGGTTTTGTCTCCTGCCACTCTTTTGCTGCTACCAGACATCCTCTCACAGTTCAGTTAGACTTAAGGTCCAATCATCAACGTAAGCAACGGGTCCTGGAACACCAATACAACAAAAAATGACGGTTGCCATTGAAAAGTCAACAAAACCGCAAAAAAAGGGTACGCAGCGGCAACAATACTCTTGCAGACAAAATGATTACTCTCCACACAGAAGACACCATTCAAAAGATGACACATGTTAAAAGCAGAATGGGTGTCCAATAAATGAATGGCAATCCAGAACCATACCCCATTGTATTACATTTAGAAACGTTTTCCTAGGGAGCATAGCAGTAATATTTTATAAATAAAACCATATAGATACCACCTAATCCATAAAGGTTGGTAAGAAGATACACAAATATGAATGCTGCCAAAATCTGCTGTTAGATATATAAACTGAAGTTTTACAACGTTAGGTTCTGTTAGGTTGCTAGGCGGCCAGCAAGTCTGGAAACAAGCAAGCCAGCCTGCATTGATGGAAACAAGCAAGCCAGCCTGCATTGACATTAGCGGTGTATCCTGCATTATTGTCATATCTTTGATAATTCCATTCCACTCTTCTTACTCTGAAGAAATCAGAAATTCTGATTTCCCAGCTAAGTCACCATGAACAAAAACAAATATAAAGAACAGAGCCACTGGCACCCGTGACAACTTTCTATCTGATACAATTTTGGGATCTTCCAGTACAACTTGTACAGTGAAGGTATCTGGAGGTCACAGTTTCTCTCTTAGTACCTTTATTAGTGATTGTCAGAGTGTTTAACCTATAGCCACTTTACAGACTTGAGAGTGTGCTGTCTGTAATGGGGGTTTGTTTAATGAGTTATTACCTAGATGTTACCCATGACAACCCATGTTTTTGAATTTGCCATCTATAATTTCTGTGTAAATTATAAATTCTGCGAGTACAAAACAAGTGTTTTGTTGTTGTTGTTGTTGTTGTTGCCACTAGAGAATGGCACAAAAAATATTTAGCAGTTATTTTTGGTCATATTTGCACAATTTTAGACACAGACTGGAGCCCAGTAGCAACTGCCAGTGAAGGGAAATAAATAACCATGTGAATAATAACATGACACTATGAAGGAATGCAGGTGAAAGTCATAGCTTTTGGATGCAGTTTTAACAAGCTCCAAACTACATTTCTCAGGAGTGCCATTGTATCATCAAATGTGGCACCGTTACGGTCCTTTCTGGAAATCTCATGCAGTCTCACATGCCAAGTGTGAAATTCACACACAAACAACCATCTTATGATCACATATCAAATAGCAAATATAGCATATTTATATTTATGCAGTAGAAAACTGAAGAACTCTTTAGATCCATCATAATTTGATTGCAGAACTGTAGAATTTATCATGTCAAAGGTTTAGAACGTAAATGTTTTTTTTTTTTAAAGTGCTTGATATCCACACTACAAGAAAGTAAAAATACATAAAAAAATACTTCATGCAAAAGTAACATCATTCACAATTTAAATTTGAAAAACACAATCTCCTCCCCTTCCAGGTGTACTATAAGAGTATGGCAATATTTGACAGACAATAATTCTTGTTTACTATGAATAGGAAAAATACCTCAAAGTAATACAATTTATTTAGCAGATGTACATTCTGTTCACAAGCCAGTTTTATTTTCTCTGTATTTTCATATATGCAGGTGTACCACAAAAACCTTACAGACAAGTCAAATGTTTTAAGAGGCGAAATGATGATGCAGCTCTGAAAAGTCTGTTTGAATGGCGCCCGCTCTCAGAGCAGAGAGAAATTTTCCACTAGCCAGTTCCACACTTCGTTTTCAGCGAACTCTAAGGGATGCCTCTTATGAAAACACGGGCCAGAGCGGGCCAGTTCATTCTATTCATGCACTGCGACGTCCCCCCAGGCTAACGGCAGTCATAACTGTGGCTTTCTATAGAATCTAATCGCTAGATCTTGTTGGCAGTTCATATGCTCCTTACAATGATAACTATGCATCAGCACAACTCTTTGTTTTGGATGCTGCGGAAAAAAATTCTGTGTTTTTTGAATTCTCTCACCAGTCTGCCCCATGACATATTTTAGGTCTGTTTTTACGTTTTATCGTTTTTTGATGTCGTCTTGTTAATTGTTAGGTTCAAAAGCACAGTTATTTTGACATCTTTTATACTCATACTACTATTTAATCAGAATGGATTATATAACTTTCTAACATCATAACTCGTGATGACTTGTGGTTTATATATTAGGAAATTAAATTGAGCCTGTTTAATTACATGGAACAATACACTGAATATACAGGATGCCAGCATTGCTAAGGGCTGTTGTTGAATATAACACAAAGCTGAGTCTTCACATCCTCCTAGCTACATTTTACAAAATGGATCCATTGACAAATATCCTTGTAGAAACAAAAATGTAAGTCAATTTTATGCAAGGTGTTCACAAGTGTATAAAACAAGAGGTTTTTTCAACCAAAAAAGAGCACCTTGTCATACTGGAAAGTTCAAAATAAATAAATATGTGAAAACTAAGTGTCCTTAACCATTCACTTCCAAAGAGTTTACATGCTCTTGATAAAAAAGAAAAATAATATCTTGTCATGTGTCTTGGTGGTTTTGCTAATGGCTTAATATTCCATAGGCTGTTGTGGACTGATTAGTGCTACATTGAGGAACAACAAACTTGAAGCTTATATCCTTCCGAACACAATATGTTCAACTAAGAAATACGATGAAACCAAAGTGGGTGTTCAAAGTCTGAACTTTTAGTACAGCTGGCTGCTTGTATGTAGGATGTTTGTGTTACTGGAAAATGGAATGATATTAAAATGATGTATTCCTGCAGTTTACCTGTGCTTTATGCAGTGCAAAGAAGGATGGTTGAGGGCAAAATGGATTTCAAGATCAGAAGCAAGGTAAAAAGGCAGGGACCAAAACCTGAACTGCGTGTCACTTGCGTGAGCTGATTGTACTGGCATGTCTTCGACCGTATGTCCAACATAGACTCCCAGGATGCTTTGGTGGGGACTCCAAACTCCAAACATGGCTGCTTTCAGGTTGGATTTCCTAACACAACAAGGCTGTGGTGTATGCTTTCGGAATAAGCAGCGCAGCAACCATCACCTGGGATATTTGGTAAAAGAAGGAACGTTCCCATACCGGGGTCAAACCCAGGCTACCTGGATGAAAACCAGGAGTCCTAACTGCTAAACCATATGGGAAGATGCTACAACTTTCTTTTTGGAAAATCCCAAGTGGCATAATACAGTGATGTCAAAAAGGAAGAGCTCATTGCCAAAATGTGGGCAATATGGATTTCGACATCTGCAGCAAGGTTGAAAAGCGAGGACTGAAATCTGAATGGCACGTCACTTGCGTAAACTCATGGTACTGGCATGTTTTCAACCATATGTCCAATGTAGACTCTCTGGATGCTTTGGGGATGCACAGGGACTCTAAACTCTTACCCACCTCATGGGAAGTTTAACACGCAGCTTGTGTCAACACAACAGGAAAACAAAACTCTCAAAGCCACTGCCGATACATGTCTGAGATCACTGGCACTGCAAAAGGTAAGAGGACATGTCAAGAAAGGCAAGTCACGCAAATGGGACTGAACAAAACAACGAGAAGGCCCATTGGAGCACTGGTGTCTGCCGTGACCCGGATTTGAACCGGGGTTGCTGCGGCCACAACGCAGAGTACTAACCACTATACGATCACGGCTGGTGTTGGCTGGTGTTGACTGGTAGCTACTGTGAGCGATGCTACTCTTGCTCTTTAAGGGAACTGTCACCCTCCAACACCATCAAAAAGGAAGAGGAGGAGGGAAAGCAATGAAAAATTCTTGCGGTCAGCAGCTGACAGGAGGGCGAGGAAACATGCTTTCCAGACTACTGCTGCTACTAAAGACTAATGCTACTATTGGCTACCAAACAATTACCATTTGTATCTCAAAAACACAAATATGTTGCGTCAATGCAGATATGTTTGAAAACGCGACACAAAAGTTTTCCCATTAATGTAAATGAAACAATTACTATTTACTGTTCTGGCACTTATACCTAAGGGATTGGTAAATCCCTTGTCAAGTTTTAGAACTTTTCGATGGTGAAATATTCAGTGGGATGGTCTTTTAATCTGACTAGTCGTGAGCACAATGATGTCACCAAGAAATGTGAAAAGACTTCTCTGGAAGGATACATCAATGTATCCTTCATTTGAAGGAAAAGAGAAAGGAGGAGGTGAGAGAGGAGATTTGTTTTGGAGCAGTGGAGGGAAGGAGGACACATACTCAGTTTCCGGGACATGGAGGACAGAAGGAAAGGAGGAGACAAATTTGAGTACTGGAAAGCAGCCTATGAATCCCTCAAGGAAATTTGGTCCTGGCCTAAAGTGTTGGTTTTTCCAACACAACAGGACTCGGGTTGTGGCGTATGCTTTCGGAATAAGCAGCACCATAACCATCACCTGTGATGGTTTGATTAAAAGAAATTTGGTCCTGGACTAAAGTGTTGGTTTTTCCAACACAACAGGACTTGGGTTGTGGTGTATGCTTTCGGAATAAGCAGCACCGTAACCATCACCTGGGATGGTTTGATTAAAGTAAGATACATTCCCATACCGGGAGTCGAACCCGGGCCACCTGGGTGAAAACCAAGAATCCTAACCGCTAGACCATATGGGAAGATGTGAGAGGCTTCCTTTAGGAAAATCCCAAGTGGCATTATAGGGTAACGTCAAAGAGGAAGAGCTCATCAACAAAACACAGGCAAAATGGATTTTGACATCTGCAGCAAGGTTAAAAAGCAAGGAGCAAAATCTGAACTGCATGTTACTTGCATAAACTGATGGTTCTGGAATGTCTTCAACCGTATGTCCAGTGTAGACTCCCAGGATGCTTTGGCGAGCACAGGGACTCCAAACTCTTTCCCATCTCATGGGATGTTTAACACGCATCTTGTGTCAACACAACAGGAAAACAAAACTCTCAAAGCCACTGCCGATACATGTCTGAGATCACTGGCACTGCAAAAGGTAAGAGGACATGTCAAGAAAGGCAAGTCGTGCAAATGGGACTGAACAAAACAACGAGAAGGCCCGTTGGAGCACTGGTGTCTGCCGTGACCCGGATTCGAACCGGGGTTGCTGCGGCCACAACGCAGAGTACTGACCACTATACGATCACGGCTGGTGATGACTGGTAGCTACTGTGAGTGATGCTACTCTTGCTCTTTAAGGGAACTGTCACCCTCCAACACCATCAAAAAGGAAGAGGAAGAGGGAAAGCAATCAAAAGTTCTTGTAGTCAGCAGCTGACAGGAGGGCGAGGAAACGTCTCTCGACTGAAACATGCTTTCCAGGCTGCCAGACTCCAAAGTCCACCACGACTCCGACTGGAACTGACTTGCTGCAGCAGTGACGCAGAGTACTGAACACCATACAGACAGAGAACTTATGTTACCTCTGAAGCCATTCCAGAGACTCAACTGCTTGCCAGCCAGGGGGCTATCCCTGCAACGCAAGTCCAAATATTGCTGCCTTCATGGCAACTATGGCTGTGTTCCAATACTAATTTCATCTCCTCCTTTCCTCCCTTTGTTTCCTCCCTTCCTTTCCTACCCTGGAAGTATGTGGAGGAAAGGAGAGGAGGAGATGAGTGGAGGAAAGGTGGAGATGAATACAAAATTAGAACAGTTAATCCGATTAGCCTATCATCAATGTCGACATCACCTATTCATGAAGTAATAATTTCGACTGACTCTGAGGATTCCAAATCCAATCACGCTTCTTGAACCCCACCAGCCTGTTTCATGCATTACAATACAAATGTCAGTCTCTCGCATTCTGCTTATGATGTAACATAAACATTTGTGCAATGAATACCAAACAATTACCATTCATATCTCAAAAACACAAATATATTGCGTCAATGCGGATATGTTTGAAAACGAAACACAAAAGTTTTCCCATTAATGTAAATGAAACAATTACTATTTACTGTTCTGGCACTTATACCTAAGCGTTGGTAAATCCCTTGTCAAGTTTTAGAACTTTTCGATGGTGAAATATTCAGTGGGATGGTCTTTTAATCTGACTAGTCATGAGCACAATGATGTCACCAAGAAACGTGAAAAGACTTCTGCGGAAGGACACATCAATGTATCCTTCATTTGGAGGAAAGGAGGAAAAGAGGAAAAGAGAAAGGAGGAGGTGAGTGAGGAGGTTTGTTTTGGACCAGTGGAGGGAAGGAGGACACACACTCAGTTTCCGGAACATGGAGGAAAGAAGGAAAGGAGGAGACAAATTTGAGTATTGGAACGCAGCCTATGAATCCTTCAAGGAAATTTGGTCCTGGCCTAAAGTGTTGGTTTTTCCAACACAACAGGAGTCGGGCTGCGGTGTATGCTTTCGGAATAAGCAGCACCATAACAATCACCTGGGATGGTTTGATTAAAGGAAGACACATTCCCATACCGGGAATCCAACCTGGGCCGCCTGGGTGAAAACCAGGAATCCTAACCGCAAGACTATATAGGAAGATGTGGGTAGCTTTTAGGAAAATCCTAAGTGGCATTATAGGGTACCGTCAAAGAGGAAGAGCTCATCAACAAAACACAGGCAAAATTGATTTTTCCACTCTCTTTCCCACCTCATGGGAAGTTTAACACGCAGCTTGTGTCAACACAACAGGAAAACAAAACTCTCAAAGCCACTGCCGATACATGTCTGAGACTGGCACTGCAAAAGGTAAGAGGACATGTCAAGAAAGGTAAGACGTGCAAACAGGACTTAGCAAAACAACGAGAAGGCCCGTTTGGGCACGGGGGCCTGCCGTGACCCGGATTCGAACCGGGGTTGCTGCGGCCACAACGCAGAGTACTAACCACTATACGATCACGGCTGGTGATGACTGGTTGCTACTGTGAGTGATGCTACTCTTGCTCTTTAAGGGAACTGTCACCCTCCAACACCATCAAAAAGGAAGAGGAGGAGGGAAAGCAATCAAAAGTTCTTGCAGTCAGCAGCTGCCAGGAGGGCAAGGAAATGTCTCTCGACTGAAACATGCTTTCCAGACTCTAAAGTCCACCATGACTCCGGCTGGAACCAACTTGCTGCAGCCATGATGCAGAGTACTGACCACCATACAGACAGAGAACTTATGTTATCTCTGAAGCCATTCCAAAGACTGAACTGCATGTCAGCCAGGAGACCACCCCTGCAATGCAAGTCCAAACATGGCCACCTTCACAGCAACTTTTCCTAAGTCCTTATGAATTCTCCTTCACACCTTTCCTCAACCTCATGATGTTTTCCATCAAGGTCAAGGAAAAGTGGTTAGGAAAGGACGTCATTTTTCTGACTGTTCGAATGCATCCTATGAATTCTTCAAAGAAATTCACTCCTGAACAAGACTCAGGATGTGCTTTAAAGGATATGCATGCTTTTGGAATAAGCAGCACAACCACCATCACCTGTGAGGTTTAATTAAATGAACACATTCCCATACCGGGAGTCGAACCCGGGCCGCCTGGGTGAAAACCAGGAATCCTAACCGCTAGACCATATGGGAAAATATTACACCCCTTTTTTCAGAAGACTCAAGTGGTGTAACACGGTAACGTCAAAGAGGAAGAGCTCATCAACAAAATACGGGCAAAATGGATTTTGACATCTGCAGCAAGGTTAAAAGGCAAGGAGCGAAATCTGAACTGTGTGTCACTTGTGTAAACTGATGGTACTGGCATGTCTTCAACCGTATGTTCAGTGTAGACTCCCAGGATGCTTTGGCGAGCAGGGGGACTCCAAACTCTTTCCCACCTCATGGGAAGTTTAACACGCAGCTTGTGTCAAAACAACAGGAAAACAAAACTCTAAAACCGCTGCCAATGCATGTCTGGGATCACCGGCACTGCAAAAGGTAAGAGGACATGTCAGGAAAGGCAAATGGGGTCGAGCAAAATAACGAGACAGACCTTTTGGGCACTGGTATCTGCCGTAACCCAGATTCGAACGAGGATTGCTGCGGCCACAACGCAGAGTACTAACCACTATACGATCACGGCTGACGTCCATCTTTTTTAGGAAAATAGTCTATCATGAGTCAGCAGAAAGGACGCTGATATAAGGAACAGACACTCTCCCACATATTAATAAAAGTTAATCACCGGGATGGAGCTGCTTTTGTAAAACGGCGAATTTCCCTGAGTCATCAGTGAAA